ATGGTCGAAGAGCCAAAGCAAGAAATGGAATTAGACTTCGCCGGTCCGTTACCTTTAGTATGGGGAACAAAAAAATACATATTGGTGTGTGTTGACAGATTTTCAAAATTCCCATCAGCTCAAATAACATCCAGCACATCGGCCAAATCTATCATAAACTTCCTTAGTAAATACATTGCTTTACACGGGATACCTAGAACCATTAGAACAGATCAAGGATCTGGTTTTATCTCCAAGGAAGTTAGAGAATTCTGCCACGATCACAACATAAAGGTGATATTTAGCCCAGTGGGTGATCATAGAGCTACCGGACTAGTGGAACGTCTAATCAGGACCATTAAGGAAAGACTCTTGGTTATGGCACAAGAACGTCCAAAACCTTCACTAGAATCTGCACTCCTGAAAATAATAAAATGCTTAAGAACAGTAACCCAGCAGTCGCTTAACTCCTTTCGAAGCACATTTTGGTAGATCCCCTAACACCATCTGGCATAATTTGGTCAAATCACCCTCTTCGAATAACCTTGATTGGAATAAAACTTTGTTATGTCTAGATAAGGGCAAAAAACTAATGAGCCGAGAGCGAAGACACGACTGGGACGCCCCCGACGATATGGAAGATGGAGATGTTGATGAAAACTCATCATCCTCGGAGGATATCTCAAATGCTGTGAGATATGTACCAACCAGTGCTGGACCCCCAGTAAAAGTGCTCTCTCGGTCAGAAAAAAGAGATGCCTTGGGCATAAAGGACTCAATTCTGAACAACCCGTCGGGTAAGACCATTGTTTATCGAAAAATCCAAGATAGAACGAAAAATGAACCATGCTATAGAGTACTCAAGGACGAAATCGTAAGGGAATCAGATCACACTGTGACTTTAAAAAATGGTAAAATAATACGTAAATTTGATTTAGCCATTAAAAGACAGTGCACCCAGAAGAAACCAAGTCCAAGAAAACGAGACCAACTGGTTAGATTTTATGCGACTAAAGGATTGAGGAAAACTGCAAAACCACCAAGAAATGTCGGATTTAAAAGCTCAAGAACAACCCAAAAGAAAAGAAATCTTCAGTGGAAATTCGAAGAGCTTGATATTGCGAGACGAAACGCGGCCATGAACAGCTCGAGGGAAACTCTTCTTAGAGAGGAAGAAGACCAGAGAAAGAGACTGAGAACCCCGATAGGCCTCGAAAGTGACCAAGAATCAAGCCCGTCGGGCAAAGCCGACCTTCATAAAAGTCGTTTAAATGAACCCGGAGTGATGATCGAACCACATGAAGAGATTTCAGACGACAATGCTAGCGACTTAATTTCACTAAAAGACCTCAAGGATAAAACATTACTCGAAGCTACAAAATCAGACGAACACCTAATCTTCGAACGAACAGATCCTAAGCTAGAAATATCAGACCACGTTGATCAGAAGGTCGATTTAGATCCGATTCCTTTGATCGACTTGGATTCTGGCGATAATGAAAGAGACTCACAAGCGATCCCACAGTTGATTCTCTTGTACATTATGGAGGAGGCCAATAAAGCGAGTCAAAAAATGCCGTTTCTTCCAGAGAATCCCGGAGGAGAGTTTTCCAAGTCTACTGAAGAACCAATCGCCATGGCGGGGACGGAATCCAAACAAATACACTCTGACCGTACCACGAAAACACAGAAATTGTCCGGTACCGCTAAAAGAAAGGCGTCATCACCAATGAAATCACCACCCTCGAAAAAATTGTCAGAAATTTTTACACGTCAGAACACCAGACCTATGCGGACTAGGCAGCCTCCCAAGATGCTAGGTGAGAGAGTGTTTACCAGTGTAGTTGATTTAACTGATGAAGATCGTGATGCTCCAGAATTTGGTTCACCTAGTTTAGTCCCAGCATGCTCAACGTTAGAAGCAACTACCGTAGAAATGGAAAGCCATCATGTCGACCTAGTAGACCTGACAACATTAACACCACCTTCATCATCGCGTCCTACTATAGTTCACTTGCGGGAAGAAAACTATGCGTACCCAAGTGACCCGAAGCCCTCGAAAACAGATGATCAAAAGACTCCCGAAAAGAAAGTCAAATTTAGTCCTGATGTCTGTTCCACGAAATTTAACCCATCGGGCCTATCTTATAAAACCTCAACTTCTACATTTGTCCCCATTGTACCTGACCCAGACTGGCTGAACACCTCTTCTATCATTTCGGCGATAAACTCCTTGGACGTCCAATGACGCTGGAGGAGTTAAGGAGATGGACAATAAACAAGGCAGCAAATCGGGAAACTAATTAGATGTAGGAGCTCCAATCCAGATGTTATCATAAACGTTCATGAACTCTCAAAAAACTTCTTTACAAAACTTTTAGTACCTTTAGTATCTGTTTATTGCCGAATGCTATTAACATTCCATTGCCATAGAGTCATACAAACTTTCAGTGCTGTCATATTAAGCCAATAAGTTGATTGGTCACACTTATAACCTTGCTTTAGCCATATAATTTCGCCGAAATGTCGGTAAAATTCTTTTCACCCATTGGGCGCTACCACCGGATAACCATTAGATTTATCCATCCTAGTATTACCCACTTATTTTGACTATTCTAAGGATAACTCCCTGCCTACCTTACTGCTCAATTTACCCTGGTGCTATTCCAGTTTCTTGCTCGCCCATAGTAACCAGTCTATATTTATTTCACCCGACGAAAACATACTATTCGATCTAAGGTGCTTTGTTTTTGAATTTTTGTTATTGCTGAAGAACATGCTTTCCGGCCCACCGGGCCCGTTCATCGGTCTTTTCCGTACCATACACCCGCTCTTTCGACCTGACAACCGTGTAATTTTACTTAGTATACAATACGCTTTCTTGGCCCTCGGTGCTTTACCAAGTCTGTGTTCCTACTGTTCTAGATCCACTCTCGGGGGTCCTAGACAATGCGCCTACTTAGTCATTCATTCTAGCGCTTAATTACTTTTGTTTTGTTCTCCTCTTGTGAGGCGAAAGGGATAGATTATAGATAAATTTTCGCGGGGAATGTAAAAATATTATTGTTTGTTCATTTAACCTTTGATCTTTACTGATCGTTGACCTTTAAGTTGTAAAATTATACACCTGCCAAAAGCGCAACGGCTTTTGGTAGACTCGGAATTGGCCACTATCTTTTATGATACGTAACAAATAAACCGAAACCAATTCAATCTTTTAAACCTCTCTTACTTTAGTTAGCATCACCGTCTTTTATTTAGTCTTAAATAAAAGCCTACAGTTTTTAGTAGGAATCTTAATCATCTGTAATCTTAATCTATTCTTAGTTTAAGTACACTCTTATACAACTACGAGTGGTATCCTAATTTTTTAACAACAACCAAATGGGAAGGAGGCAGGAAATTAAGCTTCAATAACAACGCAAGTTCACCTTTTAACAGTTTAAGCCAACATCAATAAGCAGACACAGAATAATCCAAAAAATTGAAGGTGAAGACCAACTTTTTTCTCTAGCCCAAACGGGAAGGGCCCTGGTAAATGTCAAAGTTCAATAATAAAGCAAATCAATTTCTTAGAGATTTGTAGTTCCCGATTACAGGACGCTTGCTCTCTGCTCTCGCAAGCGTAATGAGAATTTATAACTGACAGCAAGTTAGGACAGAAACCACTAATTAATAACTTGATTATGATTAAGAGCAATATTAAATGACAGAACAAACGTTTACTGAAAAAATATTCGCAAAACATCAAACTCAATTGCTAGCACCATTAGAAACATTCAAAATAGTAGGAATAGTCGAAACTTCAAAAACTTTTTGCTTTGGAAGCTAAGCCACAAAAAAGAGACACGATAGTACGAACACTTAGTTTTTTCAAAGCTTAAATTTTTTGAGTTTGCTAAAACAAACACGATCTACACAGACGCGTACCTCAGATCTTTGCTTGACGTCCCAAGCATGGACGCTACCTATGTTTATAATATTCATGTGTCAATTTATTCCATAGAGGCGAAGAGAAGCTTTTCATCAGAAGCGAAGCGAAAATGACACGGAAATACAAAATCGAGAAATGGAAAAAATTAAAATCAGCAAAAACAGAAAAACAGTCAAGAAACAGTGAAGCATCATAAAATTTGTTTTTAGGTTTTACCGAGCGGCCACTAAGCCGACAATACGCCTATTCAGACGCAAACAAAAAAAATAAAATAAGAAATTGTTGTCATAAAAAATATAGGGCAATTAAGTTTTAAGCTTTAACTTTGCAAAATAAATTATCTGAATTCAAAAAATCAACCATTTTTGTCCTTGAAGCAATACAAATTAAGGTAAGTAAGCCGATAGAACAAGCCGATCAAATAAAAAAGTACACATTTTCATACACACTGGAAAAAAAACAAAGTCCGGCCGGGACTCAAACCCAGACCTTGGGGTGCAAAGGCAACCGCGTTACCTTTAGAATTAGTGAGAAATTGTTCCAAAGCTGCTAGGGTTCACTGACAAAACAATTTCAATTTCTTACAGATTTTGCAAAAAAAATTCTTGCAGGGGAAAAACGTCTACTGGAAAACCGTTTCGCAATTTCATGAATCATCAACCAGCGCTATCCATACGGATTATTTTAAAAGGCCCCCTCCCCCCTCTTCTTCGCAAAACCCTAGATCTGCAACTGAACCATCGACTGAAATTTGCTCGCACGGTAAATAATTTTTTCACGATCCCTATATGGTGTAAAATCAACTCAGTTCACTTTATCTTGAAACTCATTTAGCGGGGAAAAAACTACCGAATCCTGAAATCATCACCGCTGAAACGAAACCTCTTGGTGCACGCAAGATCAAACTTCGAAAAATAGGGGTAATAGTAATTCACATTCTGGATCACATGTAATACGCATAATTACTTCAAACAGCTTAAGTTTGGCAATTACTAAATTCATTTAATAATCTAATTTTCTTGCAGTATAAATAAAAAAATTGTTTCAGTGTAGAACTGAACAGACTGTCATTCTTTTTAGACTCCGTCTAAGCTTCTGCTTCGTAATTTGGAGCTACAACATCCGGAAAATTACCACCCGAAGCCCCTTCAGGGGCTCCAGATTGCACGTTCTGTTCATTAGATACAGCTGGCTGTATATTTTGACTCTCAAAATAACTCGGCGGCTGAGTTCCTCCTGCACCATGGCTGGGAGGATTGTCCATATTAGGATAACCCGCATTATGACCTCCTGGGTACGAAGGGTTTTGTGGGTAGGGCGCGTAGGTCCCACCTGCTGGTTGAGAAGGGTAGGGCGAATATGCCCCACCTGCTGGTTGAGAAGGGTAGGGCGAATATGCCCCAACTGCTGGTTGAGAAGGGTAGGGCGGATATGCCCCAACTGTTGGTTGAGAAGGGTGTGGCGGATAGGCCCCAGCCGCTGGTTGCGTGGGGTACGGTGCACTACTTGCACCTGTTGGGTAGGGTGGATTAGGAGGGTAAACGGGAGAGGGTGTCTTTGCCTGATTCTGTCCACAATTTGTCGTTTGTAATTGGCCCGTAGCTTCGGGAGCAGTTATGACCCTTCCTGTCTGACCATGACGACCTTGTCTTACACAGCAAAAATATATTGCAACCCCACAGCTTGCACAACATCCACAGCAGATAAAGATTAAAACAACCATGCCAGTAAGGCTCTCTGCTGCTGCAGCAGCAGCAACATAGTCGTAGTCATTAGAGCCAGGATTAGAGCCAGGACCGCTTAAACCAGAAGCTGAAACTTCTGCTACCGCCAGCAAGATAAGGAACAGAGGTAACCAGGACATACCTGAAACAAATAACTATAGTTTAATCTGAAAAAAGCTCGGTCGATGAACATGATTACATCTTAGGGATGAGAAGTTTTTAAGAAGGGAACGATTAAAATGGGCCCTTCCGTCATGCGACAGTCCGTGCACAGATTGGATAGGGCAAGGATAGTTTTCAGTTAATGGTTCGGGATGCGCCCAAAACGAGGAAAACAATCACAACAACGATGTGGACTCGCGGATCGCTGTACTCATCCGTGAGGAACTACACGGGTGCAATGCGACTCGTGCAGGGTGTGGCTCTCTCCACACGGCCTGCGTTGGTTTTCACTTTGGATTTTTAATGCGATTCGTGTCAACAACCAATGTGAGACATTCCCAAAATCCCCCAGGTGGCACCCCAGTCTCCCGACATCCCATGAAGGGTTTGAAAAATTCGAAGGTTTTTGCTTCATTTACTTTATTCAACGATGCCGAGGAAAAGTTTATAAGTTCGTACGTAAAGCTGCACGAGTCAAATTTGCTATGACTCTGAACAAAATGTTAACGGACATTTTAGCAGATCCGAGTGCCAAAGAAGCCTGGGCCAAGCTTTTTCTTTGCCTATTTCTGCTTGAAAGCTCCAAATAGATCGCAAGGCTCTCGGCAAAACGACAACTTATACGACTAGTGCAAGGCAGGGGCTCCGTAAAAATAATGGTAGTGGAATAATTTTTGATAAATAATTTATTTCGACTAATTTAAAATAAAAATTATGTATTTTTCGAGAACTTTTAGGGAAATTATTTATTTCTCGCGTATGGAATATTACAATAATTCCAGAAATTATTTTATCTAAGGTTCACTGCGAACAACGCGTCACATCATTACGTCATTCTTTGTCGTGACCAACCAAATGCAAGCTGCTGCGAAAATCCTTCCACTTTACTTTCTCGCAGTGTTGTTTACCTTTCAGTTCTGCATGTGCACACAGTGTTGGCATGAATAAGCACGTTGTTAAATATTACTTCACGCATGTGGAAGGTTAGAACTGGAAATGCAGATGTGGGCGAAATCGAAAATTCCACTGTGCCATTATATTTTTTTCATTTTGGAATAATTTAATTATGGCCATTATTTTTTTTTTCTGAGAAATAAAAATTATTTAGGGATTCCAAAAAGTTAGGGAAATAATTTAGGGGCTAGTAGCCATATAATGGAAATAAATTTTACGGAGCCCCTGGTGCAAGGGCAAATAGCTACTTTCGAAGAAAAATTCACTTTCTCGTACTTTGCAGACGGCAGTCAACAACAACGCACCCAACACACTGAAAGATAAGGCAATGCTTATCGTTGATAAACTCAGCAAAGGGGACGGAAGAGGAGCGGTTCGCATATCCTCTTCTGACGAAAGTTAGCATCATCTTCCCTAGAGTCATTCAACGCACAAAAACCTTGATTTTGGGGAGAAAAGTAACTTTTCAAAAATTTGAATAGCCTATTATGGTAACTTCCCAAATGGCATAATTCCCAAATGGCATAAAAATGGAAACTTTTCCCAACTGGCATAAATTTCAAGTTGTCATTGTAATTTAAACGTTTTCTATCAATTTCTAACTCTAACATTTTGTCAGGAACGAAAGCATGTGAACAAGATTTGGAATTAATTGCTTCAAAACAAATTTAAGCAACAGGTTTGTCGAAAAAAATTGACCACAAGAAGCTTATTAATAACCGCAAGCTTATGCTTCTTGCTTTTGATATTAAGTTCTACAAGTTTTTCACGATAAAATGTCAATCAACATTTGAATTGACAGTTTGACTAATTTTCTCACATTGTTCACGAAAAAATTGTTCTCGATTTTTCCAAAGCAACTGTTGCATGAAATTTATGACATTTGGGAAATATTTCATTTTATGCCATTTGGGAATTATGCCATTTGAGACGTAATCGCCTATTATGCTCAAGTTTCTCGCGACAACTGAAAATACTTAAAGAAAACAATCAGAAGAAGCGAGGTATAATCGCGGGCTAGTAGGCGAAATATACTAGTGTAAAATTGCTGTCCGCACTCTTACCACGAATCAAGCGCAAGTTGTGACATTCGACCAGTATGAATGAAAATGCAGTTTCGCATTCGAATTTCTATCCACCAGAAAAAGAACAGCTAAAATGGAAGATTGATGGCTAACAGATTAGAGACGTTATTTGAACAATTAGACAATCGGGAAGGGTTGGTTTTAACTGACATGCTAATTTTTTAAATTTCGATTTGGACGCGAACGACACGTAACCTTTTTATTATTTCGCACACACTGAAGCGACGAAACAGAACAACAATAGTTGCAGTGAAAACAAATACGAGAAAATAACACAGATAAGAGTTTTAACTGGAAATTGTCAGAAACCGCTCCGAGTTGTAACGATTGTGCCATTACAATCGTTACCGAGCAAGTCACACGAACGAGAAAGGGTGTTGGGACGACGTGTCCAGCCTTCCGGAAAGAAATAGGAGTGCTATTTCTCAGGATTCCAGAATCCGGAGGCGTCTCGGGCCAAAGACTCAAGCTGTTACAGTAACTTTTGGCTTCCTGGTCATGCCCTGAATTGAAATTAACTATTATCCCGATTCATTTTCAGATACTAAGAAGCTAGGAGTGAGGAAAGGATTGATCCATCTTCGATGGAGATGATGATTATTATCTACTGAACAAAGACAATAGTAATATGATAAATAGTAGAAGTCCTGTTTTTAGGAGTGACCTCGTGGTCTGGGTATACTGAGACTCAGCCATGAGCTCACTATTTTTGCATATAATTAAGTTAATTTGAGCGTTCTAGTCGAAGCCGGAAAGCAGTAACGTTTTTTGTCGACCCGATGTTAGGAAAACCACCGAAAAAACTGGTGAAAAGCATGTAGAGATTTGTTCAGACGCTAGCCATTCGTTTTATAGCTAAGCTTCAATATCCGTCGATATGTACTTCCAGGCGAATGTTACATAGATGTTTTTATGGCGCTCCTGTGTGTTATTCTTTTCAACATCATGAACGGCAGAACCGTTAACGAGCACTCCGCGCCGAGCGGATGCTCATAATAACGCCCTTAATAAGGCCCCAACCGCCGGGGCGGAAGGGTAGTTAGGAACACGGAAGCCTTCCGGTTTCCCGTGAATAGCTTTTTAACCTAGTTAGTACCGAAAATTCACGAACCAAGAAAGGTGGGGGGATTCGCGGTTCCGTCATTTCCTGAGTGGTGCGTTACCAAAAAACACTTAAAGATATACAAGAGACAAATTAAAAAGTAGTGTAGTACCCAAGAAAAAACAAAAAGCAAAAAAAAACCGAAAAAACCAAAAATAGTAAAAAAAAAAGTTTTAAATCAGTAGAAATCATCCCCCCAGACGAGATGTGATCCGACCCTCCCGTTTGTTGTTGTTAGATATATTGTTGTTACAGGCATTTATATCAGTCAGGATCTTTACGATTAAATTTGTGGCTCGTTTGTGGTGCTTGAACTGTAGGGTTATTTGAGTATTTGAGCACGTTAATGCTAATTTTCGCTCTATCCGGAAGGGTCTCGGGATTAGAGAAGAAGACTGATCCCGCAAGCAGTTGAAGGAGCGACAGGAAGGGGCTCAAGGACAACAACAATCGACTCTCGGGTGTCGTTAACAAGTTTTGTATCCTTTTTGGTACAAAAAGTAAGATATTACTCTGTGGGGAGCTCGACAGTGACTGCACTGTAGTGACCCTTCACCGAACTGCGATTTTCCAAGTTAAGCACCTAAATTCGGATTTTGAACAAACCCGGAGGGTTATATTATTACTAGTTTTATCATTCATACAGCCTATACTAATACTCTTATATCGTTTTTCAGTGAAAAACACAGTAAGCGGACCAGTTTTTAGGGTCAAAATAGCGATATTTTGATCCCCCCATAAATCGCGATTTTTGAGATATCGATATTTTTTGAAACGTGAAAAAGTGTCAAGTTAGTGAGTTACATTGTAACTGTACTAGTATAACAAGTAGAACCGGTGAAGTTTAGTTTAGGAGTGGTTGGAACTAATTGGGTACCAAAAACCGATTTTTCTTGATTTTTGAAGAAACGAAACGCTACAAAATAGCAAAATTTTTTGAAATTTTTGAGTTAGGACAGCAAAAATTGTCGTTCGGACAACACTTTCTAGTGAATCGACAGGACAGGTTTAAAGACACGTTTGCCGATAACCTTCCGTGTTAAAGAGAAATCGAACTTAACGTGTTTGATTTAGTGGATTCATCAATCCGGAAGGGTCCAAATAGCATAGTTTTTGACAAATTTTTTCAGCTGGAAAGTTTTAGATCGTGTTTTTTGCATTGAAGTAGAAGAAAATAGGTCTTCTGAGCTCGGATCAAAAGTTTTTAGGTCGAGAAGAACAGAATTACGAAAAAAGTCAGGCGAAACCTATAAGAGAGAAAAATTTTTAATTTTAGAAAGAAGACGTTTTGGTTAATAACTTTGAAACTAATGCACAGATCCAGTTGATCTTGGTACCAGTAGATCAGAAATTAGGTGAGCTTACTAATTAAAACATCAATTATTCAAAAAAAAGGCTTGATAATTTTTTAAGGTTGTTTTTAGCAAATTCACTAAATCGAGAAGGTAGAAACTTCACGTTTTATAAAAAAATTTTGGAAAGCCCTTAAACCCCTACCAAAGGGTAGTAACGGTTGAATAAAGTAATTTTACGCTGTTCTAGACAAAAGGGGAAGGCTAAGAGAACCATAAAACTATTGTCGACTCGAAACGAGGCTAGTGATAAGACCCTTCACAGTTAGGGTGAATTGTCAAATAAGAGGCTTAACTTCAATCCGGAAGGGTCTTGGGAAATAAGATACACACTTGCTAGTTAGTTTAAACAGCATTATAGCATCGGATAACGTATCCGGAAGGGTATCGGGTAAAAAGTTTGAAAGTCTCTGAAAAGCTATTTTTACAAACCCGGAGGGGTCCCAATCCGGAAGGGTCTTGTTTCTGCCAATCCGGAGGAGTCTTGTTTTTACCAATCCGGAAGGTTCTTGTTTTTACAAACCCGGAGGGTTCCCAATCCGGAAGGGTTGTTTTTGCCAATCCGGGGGGGTATTATTTTTGCCAGTCCGGAAGAGTCCCAATTTTGCCAATCCGGAGGGGTCTTATTTTGCCAATCCGGAGTGGTCCCAATTTTGCCAATTCGAAAGGGTCCCAATTTTGCCAATCCGGAGGGGTACTATTTTTGCCAATTCGGAGGGGTCCTGTTTTTGTCAATCCGGAAAGTATTATTTTGTCAAGGCTTAAGAAGACAAAAGAAAAGAAAATAGTAAAAGGTATTAGGTTATTAAGAGACAGGCTAGGAACCAGTGACTGCACTGGTAACTTGCATTTTATAAAAGACTAGACCAAAACAAAACAAGTCTAAGCTCGAATATTCGCGACACTAAGTCTTAATTAAACAAGAGTGTGTAACTGACTTGTGTGGATTAAAATCCAAATCGTTTTTGAGAAAGGTGATTGCCCTGAGGATTTTAGTAGGTCTAGCTCGGACAGTCCGAAGGCAGATAGGTAACACAGGACTCGGTGGGTGCAATAGACACCCACTTGAGAAAATTACCGCCTTCAAGTTTTGTCTGATTGGTGCAGCACCAAGCAGGGAAAGCTCTTTAGAAACTTTAGAAACTTTAGAAACGAGTTCGACTGTTACATTGCGACTGACTAAAGTACAAAACCTAAAAATTTTCTTATGTTTCTTCATTTTGGTTTTAAATCAATAACATCTGTCCTTGATTGGGTAGTGAGAACATTATCTTTTAAAAAAATTGATATCATCATACTGTGCTAGCTACAAATCTTACAACTAATAATCGATTATTGTGAATAAACTATATACACGCTGTACTGTGATAACATACAAGAATTCGTGGTCACTATTTAATAGAAGTTTTTGAAATTTTTTGTGTTGTGTTATTGTTATCAGTAGTCAGACTAAAAGGACACTAGCAATCGAATGGAGTGTATGGACAGTAAGAAGTGATAAACTGAAAAATAGTCTAGACAAGTCAAGGATACCTAAGCTATGTGATAGCTCCAGGAAATTCATACCAGAGAAACAGAGAAAAGCAATGGTTGACCCTTTTGTAGAAAAGATCACACGACGAAACCGACAAAAGGAAGATGGTTTCAGGCAGAATGGTTGAGACCAGGAGTCAAAAGACCTCAGAAGGGCAAAAGGCAAGGTTAGAAGTAGAGGTCTATCCGGACCAGGCCATGGATGAGAACCAGGAGAGAAATCGACCGAAGGGGAGAGGAAACAGAAGACTGGCGAGTGAATCAACCTCGGTAGAACAAGGTCCAGATTTTGCCACTTCCAACGGGGCACTGGACCGAGAAGAGATGTCGGAACTGTCCGACATCTCTACTGAAAATGTGGCAACTACAAGATCACCCACAGACAACATCATGATGGTTGGCGTGACGGAGAAACCGGCAACGTCCTTATCGTTTTCAGAAACAGTGAAGAACACTTTCGGAAACTTCTTTCCATTCGCCATGGGAACGGGTACAGGCGATTAAGCAGAAACCCAGGAAGAAGAAGAGGACGATGACAAGCAAGATGACTTTGGATCTCAAGTCAGCCTCAATAGTTCGACTCAGGAGATTGACGCATACACTGATAGAGGGACTGGCACCATGGACTAATTTGGTGTAGTGAGGACAATTAGCAAGACCACAAACGGATCAGGCCAGTCAGGAGACTTTGTGATAATGACGAACTCTGAAATGCGAACTGGGGAGAATAGAAACACAGGGCTAAGCAACGCATCGGCAGATCCAGAGGTGGATAATGAAAAGACGTCGAGGCAGAGAATCAAAGCCTCAATCTCGACCAGCACCAAGCTACCTGGGATTGACAAGGTGACACCGCCACTTGTGACGCCATTAGTGGATAACGGAGCATCAATTGAAGAAGTCTTGACCAACATAGTGGGCAGCATAGGAGAACAGAATGAACAGATGTCCTTAAGAATGAGTGAACTAGAAAAGGCAGTCTACGTCGAGAGAGAAAATCTGCGGGAAGAAATCAATCGCAACAGACAAGAAGTTGGTAGAAGCGAAAATCGCTTGAAGGATAGAACGGATGAACACTTGGCGAAGAACTTGTCGCGAATGACGAGGAAAGCAGAGCAAAGAGAGTTACAATTGAGAGACGACATGGAAAAGTTGAGACTTCAACAAGAGCAGACTCTTGGGACTCTCGACACGAAGATAGATGCGATCATGGAGAGCCGAACTCAAGCTATCATGGATGGGTTGGACGAGCTACTAGGCAACAGGAGTGGATCCAAAAGTGGGGAATCAAACTCGGGAGAACCCAGCAGGGAGCCGAGGGTGAACTTCAATGAACAGCAGAGTAGGAGAGGGACATATGAATCCACTAGAGGAAGGGGCAGTTCATCAGGCTATGCCACAGGTGACAATAGAACACGGGGCCCAAACACCAGAGGAAGTTCAACTGGCAACAGTCAGAGCTCAAACGAACGACCGACGCAAGATACACATGCGACTGGGAGATTTGATTCCAGCAACAGGAGTCATGCGAGCCAATGAAGAAACAATCCTAGCGATTCTGACAGGAGGGAAAATCCAAATCCAGAGCCCTTATCAGGGGCAATGATACTCAAGAGGGGCATTCAAGAGATGCTACATCATTGGCCACGGCCTTTGAACCTCTGAACAGGTCCCTGGAAACATTCCTCACAAGGTTATCTAGAACCAATGAATGCAGTGAAAAATCCAGAAGGGTTTTTAAAAAACCAAGATGCTATAAAGACGAATCTGATGGCTGTATTGATACCTGGATAGAGGTGATGAAACTGCATTTTGAAGAAGAAGACTTGTCAGAAAGGCTAAAAAGCAGTCCTCTTACCAGCAACTTGGAAGGGATAGCCTTAAACTGCGTGATGCCCAAAAATCAATACCAGCGGGACACAGCTGAGAAAATCTTTGAAATCTTGCTAAATCGTTTTTGCTCAGGGGTGCAAGGACACCAAGCAATGATGCGCTTCGAGAAACGGAGGCAACGTGAAGATGAGACAATAGACAAGTTTCTAGACAATTTGGAGATGCTGAGAAGGCGTAGCCAACCAAACGAGTCGAACAGAAAGATGAACCTGGCAGTAGCCTCAAAATTCATCGATGGTGTGAAGAATGATGAGCTTCGAACAATGTTAGCGACACATTACACACCACTCTCAAACAATGCGCCAACACCAGAGGAGTTGAGACTCAAGTCAAAAGAATATCTTTTACTGAATCCTCCATCGAGATCTGGATATTACAAGAACAATTATGGCAATTTTAACAACGGACCAGCAAACCAAGGAAACAACTGGTACAAACCAAGGGACGACATGGACAAGAGACGCTCTTGTGCAAATTGCAGTTCGACGGACCATCATGTGTCAGCATGCCCAGCTTACAAACAGGGCATGCAAGCAATAGGCTTAAGCCTCAAGGATGAAGATGCGTGAGAGGTCGACCCTGAGGATTTCTTGAGATGAGTAATTGGGGAATTCGGCCCGAGGTGTTTCTTTTGTAACTTGGAAGGTCATTTTAAATCGGATTGTCCACAATTCTGGGATGCTGTAGCAGACATCAAGCATCCAACGCACGAAGTCGCTTTATGGGGTGTGAAAACCAGCAAGGCTCGCCTGTTGAGTGAAGCGGAGGCGCGCAGAAAAGAAAAACCACAAGAGTTGGCAAAGAAGAAGATGCAGGCGGTAACGGAAGGGATATGTGAACCGGAACCGGTGACTGCGGCGGATGACTTCAAGATCGAAAGTAGGGCAGTCGCGAGATATGCTCCAAACAGAGTCCAGCAGGAATTGGTAACGAAGGAGATTGAACAAAAGGTGAAGCTCGAATTGGAAAATGAGTACAGGAAAGGCTGAACGCATTCAAGGCATCCGAAGTCGAAGAAACGAAAGCACCAACCAGTTTGAGCATGAAAATAAATGTGATTTCCGGGCAGACGTTCGGTATGATGCCACAGGGAAGTAAAAAACAATCGATAATCTCGGTGGCGGGACACCAGGTAATCAGAAATCTTATAGAACCATCAGAATTCTTTTTGATGCATTTGGATACATATGCAGATTATCCGAGACAGGTGGAGCCACGCACTGAGTCAAGAGCTGTGCGAGCGCTACTTACAACAGTTGGCCCTCGAATTAGGAAATTTCACGGGCGCTACGTGGAAGTCTATGGACCGTATCAAGTTATGCTGAACGTGGACGGGATCAGTATCTACACTAGGACCTACATGACGACAGACAGTGACCAAATAGGGCAAATCTATTTGGGTGAAGAAGAACTTAAAGTCCGTAGGATAGGCCATGATGCCATGATGGAGCAAGACGCGGTTCACATTGGATACGAAGCAGACGTGACTGCACATCTGCTCGACACCAACGCGAAGAAAATCGGAGTCACAGGGCTTCTGGACACAGGAGCGGTAGTGAGCGTGATGCCGATAAAAACTTGGGAAGACCTAATTCCGACGAATCTCCGACCGGCTGCAGCTAATCGAGGAGCAATTTACGTAGCCGGAAGAACACCAATAACGGTCCTTCACATGGGAGGACGGGATCTTTGGATGAGCTTCCTGGTGGTAGAGAATTTGAACGACTCCGACCAATTCGTCTTGGGCAGAGATTTTATCCAGAATTTCGACGTGATGATTGACTTGAACAACGGTCTAATAAGGATTAGAAACCCGGACCTGAAGTATGTTAAGAAACCAATTAATAGAATGATAACAGATGAAAACAAGGTATCAATCTTTGTAGATAAAAAGGTAAGACTACAGCCGGGACAGGCTGTGGTAGCATTTTTAGAATGAGGAATTTGAATTCGTTAAGTGATAGTGAACAGGTTTGTTTGGTACCAAACCCAAATAGTCAAAGCTCAATGATTTTAGGCCGGAGCTTCTCGGTAGCGAATTTCCGAGTTAAGCACCTTAATTAGGATATTGAACAAACCCGGAGGCGTATATTATTACTAGTATTATCATTCATACAGCCTAGATTAATACTCCTATATCATTTTTCAGTGAAAAACACAGTGAGCGGACCGGTTTTTAGGGTCAAAATAGCGATACTTTGATCCCCCCACAAATCGCGATTTTTGAGATATCGATATTTTTTGAAACGCGAAAAAGTGCTAAATTAGTGAGTTACATTGTAACTGTACTAGTATAATAGGTAGAACCGGTGAAGTTCAGTTCAGAAGTGGTTGGAACTAATTGGGTACCAAAAACCGATTTTTCTTGATTTTTGAAGAAACGAAACGCTACAAAATAGCAAAATTTTTTGAAATTTTTGAGTTAGGACAGCAAAAATTGTCTAGTGAATCGACAGGGTAGGTTTAAAGACCCGTTTGCCGATAACCTTCCGGGTTAAAGAGAAATCGAACTTAACATGTTTGATTTAGAGGATTCATCAATCCGGAAGGGTCCAAATAGCATAGTTTTTGGCAAACTTTTTCAGCTGGAAAGTTTTAGATTGTGTTTTTTGCATTGAACTAGAAGAAAATAGGTCTTCTGAGCTCGGATCAAAAGTTTTTAGGTCGAGAAGAACAGAATTGCGAAAAAAGTTAGGCGAAACCTATAAGAGAGAAAATTTTTTAATTTTAGAAAGAAGACGTTTTGATAATTAACTTTGGAACTACTGCACAGATCTAGTTGATCTTGGTACCAGTAGATCAGAAATTAAGTGAGCTTACTCATTAAAACATCAATTATTCAAAAAAAAGGCTTGAAAATTTTTTAAGGTTGTTTTTAGCAAATTCGCTAATTTAGGCCGGAGCTTCTCGGTAGCTCGAAACGGACTGTGTGTCAGTGTGTTATTTAACGCAATGGACACCACGGTTCCATCCAGCGTGGAAAAAAACTTGGTTACGATTTGCCGGTGAGAAACGAATATGAAGAGACACAAAACTTGAAGAGATATGACGTAAAGAACCAGCCTTATCATGCCAATAAAAATATAATTTTAAAAAAATAATTAATTTAAAACTATTCATAATGTGTTTTCAATGAAATCCGAAACGAACGACGGCTTGTCGAGCTGCTCGAATTTTTTGGAACGCCCCTCGTCATATAAACTAGAATCTGACAAACCAGTTTTGCCAGAAATAGAACACTTAAAAGGGAAAATAGGCGAGGGAGATTTTGAATCATTGCTGGCGGTTTTAAATCGGAACGCGGATGTATTTTCAAAACATAAGGCGGATATCGGTTGTTGTAACTTCGTCGATCACGAAATCGAACTAGAGGAAGGCGCCGTTCCCCATAGGGAAGGCGCAAGACGAATGACACTACATTAATCGGAAGCGTGCCGAGCGGAAATAGAAATGTTGCTTGAATACGACATGATAGAACCCTCGAAATCGCCGTGGGCTTGCGGGGTAGTCATGGCAAAAAAGAAAGGGGGCCAGCTTAGGTTCTGTGGTTAATCTCGCTATTTGAACGCGGTGACAAAAAAGATGCATACCCGATACCGCGAATAGACGAGAGCCTCTCTAAACTTGGTAACGCCAAGTTCTTCACCACACTGGACTTGGGTTCTGCCTTCTGGTAGGTCCCTCTGCGGAAGAAGGACAGAGAGAAGACCGGAATCGCTTTGAATTGGGGTTGTACCAGTGGAAGTTGATGCCCATCGGCTTGTGCAACGCAACGGCCACTTTTCAAAGACTGATGGCTCAGGCTTCGACCAGAATGACGAAGAAGTACGGGAACTTTGTGATGTGTTACGTGGATGACGTGGTCATAGCAACACTCACCTAGAAGACCACATTGATCGGCTCAATGAGGCCTTTGGCTCCATGAAAAGAGCAGGCTTGAAATGCAAACCGTCGAAATGTGAAATCCTCAGCGACTCAATCAAGTATCTAGGAAGAATGGTGGACAGGCATGGCGTGAAGCCGGACCCGGAAGCAGTAGAGGCTGTGTTGACATGGAAGGCTCCCAGAATGGACACACAACTCATGAGAATTATTACCGTGAGTTCATAAAATGATATGTAGACAAGTTGTATCCCATGCAGAAGCTGATGCGCAACAAAGGAAAGAAGTTCGAACGGAGCGAAGAAGCTCAAGCTGCCTTCGAGAATATAAAGCGGGAACTGCGCGAATTGCCAGTGCTAGGCATGCTTACAGAAAAGGGCATGTATGTTCTTGACACAGACGCATCAGTAGTAGCCAACTCAGGAATACTGCATCAGGAACAGGAATGGCATGGAAGGACAGTTCCCGTCCCGTTGCATATGGCAGTAAGGTGTTAAGTGACACTGAGATGACATATGGTGCACCGAAATCAGAAATGTTTGCAGTACTCACATCCGTGGAAAAGTACCGCGCATACTTGGGGAGCGCTCCCTTTAAGTTACGCGTGGACAATAGAAGGTTATCTTGGTTGAAGACATACTCGATGGATCAGAGTTATATTGGTAGATGGATAGTAAAGTTAGATTGCTACCACATTATAAACGAGCACAGGATGCGTAACGAACACCAGAATGCTGACAGCCTCAGAAAGAAGACCGAGTTCTTTGAAAGATTGGAACAGAAGCAAGCCAATCAGGCAGAAATCAAGAAAGGGTTCTCAATTATGGACAAAGAAACTTATGAAGTGCTTCCCTTGACGAGATGGCTGGACAAGTCTGGACAAGTCTGGACATCCAATTCCAGAACATCCTGAGTTACGTGTAGAGAAAGCAGTCGAGATAAAATTTCTATCCAAAAAGGACCCGGTGCCCTTGGATCTGTTGCTCCGCTGAAACCTGGTCCAGCAGGAAGTCTCTCGCATCAACATAAACAGCCTTTCATTATTGGATACAACGGTGTAGGTCAAACCGCAAGTGATGCGGATGCTGGGTGGATTGTTAGAGAGAGAAGTGACCAGAGATGACCCCGAGTGGGCATCAACTATGGCATCACTGGCAGTCAGTGAGAAGGTGAAGATCATGCTGTCAATACGACAACACAAAGACAGCGAGAGGGATTGTAGGTCAATAAATCAGCAACTAGTATCCTCAATACCCCACGAGGTCTTAACATGTGTTTCATACGGTCGGAAAGAACAGGGGAACGATACGCGAAAGGAAACCGTTACCTTTGAGGACCAGGATAGAAATAGTGAGAAGGTTGAACGAAAACTGGTGCAAGATTGTTTGTACGGGGAGACAAACGGTGAAAAAAGCCGGCGAATTCAAGATCAACACCCGGGACAAGGAAGTTTGTCCGGGGAGTCTGAGATAGATGAAAAAGTTCCTGACGAGAAACAGGACCTGGGGAACAAAGTTTTGTCCGGGGAGTTCAGATCGATGCGAAGAAGGCACAGACTTGATCCGGAGGAGGGTGCAGACTCCATCACAGACTCTTCAACAGACGACAGTTCCCGAAACTCAGGAATTGACATCTACTCAGACAGGAACTCGAGCTCGGGATTAGAACTGTCAGAACTATCGATCCACACAATACTAGTGGAAACTCGTGCAGGGGATCTGAATAGAGAGGTGTACCAGGATCCTGACAGTGATCGCTACCTCATACCAAGCGAAACAGTCTTTGACAACGCAGCGGATGATTTGGAAACAATAGTTGTATCGAAACGTTCGATAAGTCTGTTGCCACAAAAAGAGGTAGTCAAGACTTATCATCAGCCGTTCAAACAAGAAACACAGCCAATGGCGAAGATTTAGTGCGTTAAGATGGAAGAAGACACACAGCAGCCCAATGAGCTGAATAGTCAGATGAGGTCATGAAGACATACTTGAAGGCGAGATACAGACTCTCGGATCTTCTAAGGGCGCAGAGAAATGACCGCATGACAAGCAACCTGAAAAGTTGGATCGAAAAATGTTTTCCGGACAAAGGAGACCTCGAGGAAGACAGTTACTGCATTCTGAGACAGTATTTCATGCAGAAAGAGGGAAGGTTATACTTGAACAAGGACTTGCAAGAGAAGAAATGAAGACAAAGTCCTATACAAGTATAACGCGATAGTGTTGCCGCAACTCTATCAAACAGAACTCTTGTTCAGGTCGCATGATCAGTTGCCTCAGAAAGAAGACCGAGTTCTTTGAAAGATTGGAACAGAAGCAAGCCAATCAGGCACAAATCAAGGAAGGGTTCTCAATTCTGGACAAATTTGACAAGTCTGGACATCCAATTCCAGAACATCCTGAGTTACCTGTAGAGAAAGCAGCCGAGATAGAATTTCTATCCAAAAAGGACCCGGTGCCCTTGGATCTGTTGCTCCGCTGAAACCTGGTCCAGCAGGAACTCTCTCGCATGAACATAAACAGCCTTTCATTATTGGATACAACGGTGCAGGTCACACCGCAAGTGATGCGGATGCTGGGTGGATTGTTAGAGAGAGAAGTGACCAGAGATGACCCCGAGTGGGCAACCACTATGGCATCACTGGCAGTCAGTGAGAAGGTGAATATCATGCCGTCAAGACGACAACACAAAGAAAATGAGAGGGATTGTAGGACAATAGTTCAGCAACTAATTTCCTCAATACCCCAAAGAAGTTTTAACAAGTACTTCATACAAACGGGAAGAACAGGGGAACGACACACAAAAGAAAACCGTTACCTTTGAAGGAAGGTGAGGAAGCTGATCGAAACCTGGAGCAAGGAAATTTGTCCGGGGAGACGAACGGTGAGGAGAGAGGGCAAGTTCAGGATGAACACCAGGGACAAGAAAGTTTGTCCGGGGAGTCTGATGTAGAAGAAAAGGTTCCTGATGAGGAACAGGACCTGCAGGACCTACGGAGGAGGGAACGTGCTCCATCGAAGACTCTTCGACTAATGACAACTCCCAGAACACAAGAATCGACACCTACTCAGACAGGAACTCGAGCTCAAGATCGGAACTGTCAGAGCCAGCGATCCACACGCTACTAGTGGAGACCCGAGCAAGGGATCTGGACAGGGAGGTATATCAAGACCGTGACAGTGATCGCTACCAGATACCAGGTGAAAGAGTCTTTGACAACGCAGCAGATGATTTGGAAACAATAGCGGTAACGAAACGTTCGCTAAGATTGTTACCGCAAAAAGAGGTAGTCAGGACTGATCTTCAACCGTTCGAACAAGAAACACAACCGTTGGCGAAGATTTGGTGCGTTAAGATGGAATAAGACACGCATCAGCCCAATGAGCTGAATAGTCAGATGAGTGTCATGAAAACGTACTTGAAGGCGAGGTACAGACTATCGGAACTACTAAGAGCGCAGAAAAATGACCGCATGACGAGCAACCTAAAAAGGTGGATCAAAAATGGAGCTCCGGACAAAGATGACGTGGAGGAAAACAGTTACCGCATTCTGAGACAATACTTTATGCAGAAAGAGGGAAGGTTGTATCTGAACAAGGACGGAATTGTGACTTGTAAGAAAAGAGAAGAAGACAAGGTTCTGTACAAATATAATGCGATAGTGTTGCCGCAACTCTATCAGACATAAGTTCTATTCAGGTCACATGATCAGATGGGCCATCAGGGAATCAAAAAAGTGTACCAGAGGATCCTGAAACGCTTTGAGTGGCCTGGAAAGAAAACGTCATGCAAGAAGTGGGTAAAAGCATGTCCGTCATGCCAACAGGTCAAGGATCCAAGGAAGTTGCGATTTCCTTTACAATCGATCGAGTCGTCTGAATTCAGCGAGGTGGTGCAGATAGATCACCAAAAGATATGCATGACAGACAATAACTATAATCAGGTGTTGGTCATGATAGATCATTTTACGAAGTATGCAGAGGCCGTGCCCTGCATAACTGCCTCGGCGGAAGAGACATGCGACCACCTGATCAATACGTGGATAGCGAGATATGGTTGTCCGATGACGTTTCAATCAGATAACGGAAAAGCTTTCGTAGGAGAGCTCACGAAAGAGCTTATGAGACGCTCACAGGTTGCTCAAGCTCACTCCACGACATACCACCCCTAGACGAATGGCTTAGTGAAAAGACAGAATAGGACGTTAGTGTCGATGCTGAGAGTATATTGTTCCAGGTACCCCCACTATACCTTCCACAGGTGATGGGAGCATATAACAGCACGCAACACTCCACACACTTCGCAAGACATCGACATAGTTGACGACCACGGTGATAAATGGATCGAGGACAGGTCGAAACCCGAGGTAGAATTCGACGACGAGCAACAGCAATCCTACGAACAAAACTTGACGAATCTGCGTGTCTTGGAATGGCTGAACGAAATGACGTCGGACCCAAAAGAGACCAGTGTAGCGATTCAAGATGTAGATCGTGAAAGCATGAAATACATAAAAACGGAAAGGGATGATCCTTCCTGGGCTGCTCAGGAAGGTCAATTACTCATTCCTGCTTCCAACATCGATTTAATATCCGGGGTATGCAATCGACGGGGACGTCCTTGGATATTTTTGTCCGCGGAGTGGGGGTAGGACTTAACCACGCTGAAAAATTATTGGTAAAATAATTAAGAATAGCAAGAGAGACAGGTGATCTAGAAGTAGAAACAGGCGAGGACCCTAAGAAACCGGACATAGGGAGAGTAGTTGAGTCATATTTTAACTTGCCAAATGAATACTCAAGTAGCATAAAATTGACAGATAGCGTTTTCATACTCACAGATAGAACATGTGCGATAGCGATCACAGCAGACATTAGTTTTAAGACAGCGTTAGCAGTAGGTTTTAAGAGAGAATATAAAAACATAGAAATCCTTTGGAAGCAAAGACCAGGAATAGGGGGCGTAGAAGCTTGGCCTCCGGCGGCGTCACAGATACCGGGAGAGTATTTATGCTTCTTGGTGAGGAGGGCGACGGAGAAGCGGCACATGGACCCGGAAAACCTAGTCTTGTCCTTGACGAGATTGAGAGACTTCCTTGTGGAAAGGGAAGTAGAGGAGCTCTCGCTTCCAGTGTACGATCCGAACAGAGGACGACTGCATGCACGGGAGCTGTATGCACTGATACACGTAACCTTCTCTGATACTAGTATACAAGTATACTTACATAAGAAATATTATTTAAGTATAGGCTGAGTTTAGGTTGCATGCAGGAATGCGTCATACTAAATGTGTGTTGTGTGTGATATGTGTGTTATGTTATGTTATGTTATGTTATGTTTTATGTTATTAAGACCCTGGGTAAGAAGGAATTAGTGACCATGAATAACCGATTGACAATCTTAGGAATAGATCCAAAGTTTGGACTGTCCATTCTTAGGTCGAATTCCAAAATTTAGCAACGAATTGATTTTAATAATTTTTTGGATCAAAATCATTTATCTGTCTGTTTTAAATGAATTTTAATTAAAAAAATTAGTGTAAAGCTGACAAATATGATATTTGTGACCACTTTTGTAGATCTTGATTGATCATTTAATTATTCACTTGATTTCAATTCATCAAAGAGGAATTAGAATCGATACTGGAAAAGAAGTTCATGAGATACGCCAGTGGGAACTTCAGTGACTTCGAAAGACAAAAGCAGAAAGGATCAACAGTCACGGATTACAATACAGTAGATAAGAATGATGAAGTCCACCGAGGAAGCTTCGGAAAAACGTAACTGGAGGAGCATCATGTCAACACATGATGAGTTCCCCTGCCAGTGTTACCCCGGGCGTAGTAAACTGGTGTTGATCTGGGACTGTGGAGAGCTGCTCTCCATGGGTTTACCAGATTCATCACAGCCCATAACGATAGTGATAGTAGGAGTTATGATGGCGATACGATGGCTGGAAGCTCATGTAAAAGAGAACAATAGACAGGAGGCGCCGACGAAAGAACAGTTACAGGAATTGGATTGTCTAAAAAATTTAGATCTTTTTGAGACAATGTGCAAGATCTTGAACATTCCGATGGAATTGAAAAAGATATGGGCCAGAAGACGACTGATGCTATGGTTCAGAGCCAACATGACTGCATGGTCATACGAACATGCCAAGAAGCATATGTCGAAGCACAGCAGAGTGTACAGTGCGTATCAGCTGGACTTTGGAGCAGGAGCTTTTAAGCGAGCTTTGTAACTCATCGGAATACAGTAACCACCGCAGTGAAGAGAACTTCTAGGACAAGTGAATGTGACGGAAGGGAGAAAGAAGAGATGTTGAAGGAAGACTTGGAGAGAAACGTGACGTTGTGCCTCCACAACAGCTTCTGCTGAAACAGAGAATATTACGTTGATCCTCTACCTTGTTGTAAACAAAGAGTAGAAGAGCAGAAGTGTTGGATGGTTGCTTTCAACAGCGTCAGAATAGCTACCGACGTGTTGCAAGACACAGAGACTGAAAGTGCGGAGTCAATGTCGCAGGAGGAGGAAATGGAACATTGACAAATGGCCGAAAAATAAGATGCAAAAAGAAAAAAAAATTAGAATAATTTAGAAGTTTTAGAACTTCTAAACGACAGACAAAGAAGAGAGCCAAGAAGCAACGAAAGAGGAGACGTTAAAACTTAGAATTGTTATGTATGTGACAAAAAACTCAAATGAGAAACAAAGCAACTAAGTTTGCAATTGAAACTGAAAAGAAAACATTTAGTTGAGTTTTGAAGATTAAAAATTTGTTGCATTTATAAATTTGTGTTTTGATTTCAATTAGCGGCTTAAGAGACACCTACTTTTTATTTAGAAAGGCTTGAGTGAAGAGTATTTTAAATTATTTCAGCCTGCATGATTGTTTTTAATCAACTAAGACGACTG